TAATATAGAATATAATTATATTTATATAGAAAATAAAGATTATTTTTTGTAATATTTTAAAACTTTTTGTAAATATTGAATAAAATAAATAAATAATAAATTTTAAATTTAAATGTAAAAAATATATATATATATGAAATTGTATTTATATAATATATATTATCTAAAGTTATATATATAAATTTAAATATATTCAAAAAATGTATAAAAATATATCTGGATAAATTCGAATGGATATATGTGAATATATTTGAAAAATATATTTGAATAAATTTGAATTACACAGATATATGCAAATATATTTGAAAAATATATATGGATAAATTCAAATACACGAATATATATATATTCAGATAAATTCAAATACATGAATATATGCAAATATATTTACATATTTATCCAAATAAATTTGAATAATTAATGTGAATAAATGTGTGGGTGGTTAAATATATTCAGATATATTCAGTTCAAATATATTTAGATATATTTGTTCTTGAAAATTTCCTGATAAATGCAAAAAAATAGTCACTGGTCAAAAATTAATAAATAATACACATATCGAATACCCTATATGTGCATGGTATGTCTCTAATATTGGATGAATATCAGGTACTCGATATATATATAAAATATTTTTTACATCTATTAGATATCCGATATGTGTATTATTTATCAATTTTCAACTAGTGAGCTAATATGAATAATAAAGAATAAAATAAAATAGAACAATCAATTTGTCAAATCTTAGTTAATTATATAATTAAGAATTTCAATTGTTAATGATTTTTTTTTGTATTTGACCAGTGGCACTAGTGGTTACTGAAAAATTAACTTTTGAAAATTGAAATTTTATATATAAAAAATTTATTTATTTATTTTAATATTGATGAATTTTTCCTTAAGGCCAAGTTCATTTTTATAGATTGTAAATATTTAAAGAATGTCATCTGAATTCCATTTTTTAACAATTGCAACTGAAGGAAGAACTTTTCGGTTGTTGCATTATTAGATTATTAGGATGAAAAGAAGTAGGTCGCACAAGATAATCAGATTTACAGATTTACAAGAAATGTAACTGTAGAAAAAAAACAAACTACTGAATTATTTAAAAAGCTGGATTTCGAAAGAGATCTCGTGACAAATATAACACAAATATCAAAGAAGGCAAGTATGGTAGAAGAACATTCTGAGAATCACGAATTCACCACGAGAATTTTTTAAAATCAAATTCTTATACTTGGGGGGGGGGGGTACATGTTAATGGTAAAGAAAATACAGTCACGTGTAAAATAATATAAATTATTAGCGTTCAAAAAAAAAAAACCGAAAATAGAATGTCTACATTTTACGGAGGTTTTTATTATTTAAAATCAAATGAATTTCATAAGTTTCAATTTTCTGCTGATAACCTTCGTTACTTTTAACTATTAAATAGACGAAGTTTCAGCCATAGTTTTAGATATAGGTTCGAGTTGGACACGTGCTGGGTATGCTGGTGAAGATACTCCAAAACTCGTTTTCCCAACTTCATATGGCTATCTTCCAGAAGAGAATGTGGAAAATGATGGAGATATAGTTATGGGAGAAAATAGCAACGCGAACCTCGGCAACAGTGAAGGTGATCCTTATTATCCCAGAAGAAAGAAAAGACCTAAAAAGCGTAGAGGGTCATATATTATAGGAGACGCGGCTATAACAGCTTGGAGACCTTCCATGGAAATTAAAAATCCTCTTGTAGATGGAACAAGTTAGTTATTGATAGATTATTTTATTTTTTACAATTAATACAATTATTTAAATTTATTTAAATTTATTTTTTTTAGTACAAGATTGGGATGCATTAGAAGAGATTTGGGATTACATTTTTTGGGAAGATCAACTTGATATTGATCCCAAAGAACATCCATTGTTTGTGACTGAAGCAGCTTGGAACACGAGAGAAATTCGTGAAAAGCTTACTGAAATTGCGTTTGAAAAGTACCAAACCTTGGCTTTTTATATAGCTAAGAATCCTGTTCTCTCCGCGTATCCTTTTCGTCAATTATTTCTACTTACAGTTATATCGTTATCATACATTAATAAATTGCATTACATTATTCCTTGACAACTTTACAGATTCGCAGCGGGTCGTCCAACTGCTATTGTTCTCGATTGTGGTGCCAGTAGTACAAGCTGTGTGCCCGTAGTTGATGGATATGTTCTTAAAAAAGGTTTGACGCGATTTTGTCACAAAAATTTTCTAACCGTTAATAAAATTAGCGAATTACCTTTTGAATTACCTTTTGAATTACCTCATTTACAGGAATTCATAAGCAACCAATTGCTGGAGACTTTCTTTCTGAATATTTATTACAACAAATTCAATCAAATCCTCAAATTAGTGTGATACCACATTATTTAATTGCAAAGAAATTTGTTGTGGATGCGGACAAACCATCCAACACAATTTTGCGAGACCGACCGAATACGACTGAGAGTTATCATAAGTTTATGCAGATGGTAAGAAACCAAAGGGTCAAAATTAACCCCCAATGTTGGTTTTAAATTGATCGCTGATTGTCAGCGAACATAATTGGTATAGAGAGTATTGCACGAATTTAAGGAATCAGTATGTCAAGTATTTGAAACAACTTATGATGAATTGTAAGTTTATTTAATGATTCTTTTTATTTTTTTCGCCATCTCGTTTTTTTTAAAAAAAAAAATATATAATAATAATGAAATAACGTATTTAATAATTATTTAAGAGTCATTTCCGCTCGACCAATGAAAACTTTCGAATTTCCTGATGGCTACAACACATCTTTCGGTCCTCTTAGGTTCAATGTACCTGAGACCTTGTTTAGTCCACAAAAATTTTTATCACAGGTTAAAATTTAATTCATTTCTATTATTATTAATTATTATTAATGTACATAATATATATATACTTGTATAATTTTAATTGTTAATATAATTTCCTATAGTCATCCTTAGAAGGTATAGATGTTTCTTCATTATTAGGAGTACATGAAATGATTTGTAATAGCGTTAATTCTTGTGACATCGATTCACAACCTCACCTTCTAAATAACATTATCCTGACTGGGGGAACCACTCTTTTGCCCGGTTTTACTGATCGTGTGAATTATGAATTGAGTATGATGAGGCCAGGGGTAAATTATTAAAATAATGTAATTTGGTTTGTAATATTTCTTTCTTTAATATATATAAACTTACAATTGTTTTCCTGAAATTCTTTTATAGAGTAAAATTAAGATTCATGCACCGGGAAATACAATTGAGCGTAAATGTAGTAGTTGGTTGGGAGGTTCGATTCTAGCTTCTTTGGGAACATTTCACCAACTTTGGATCTCACGAAAAGAATATGACGATTACGGGAAATCCATTGTGGAAAAGAAATGCGAGTGATTTATTTAATCATTTTTTTTGTAGGTTACAAATTTGTAAGGTACGTAAGATGATAATCATTTTATCTTTTAAAAGTTATTTCTCTCATTTTATCATTCATTCAGCAGCATTTCATTTTTGATTGTTAGACTTATTTGGTCTACTAGATCTTTGATTTTTAGAAACAAGAATAAATGGTCAATAAATGATAGGAAATAATTTAGAATTTAAAGAATAAAAACTCGTCAATATTATTTTTTCATTGATTTTTTTTTTTTTTTTTGCTAAATAACTGTTCAGCATTAATAAAAGCAGGTTTTTAAAAAGTTGGAAAATAAACAATTTTTCTCTTGAATTTCAAATCAAATAATTGTCAATCCAAATTATAAATTCATCTACATTAATACTTTGATACTAAAAGTATTTCTATAAATAATATACAAAATGCTAAATTTGATAATTATTAAATTATTACAAATATCATATGATTTTATATGTTTCATCCAGATGAAAACCGTAACAATAAATAAAAATTCGGAGGAATTAAAGAAAAGATTTTTTTTCTTGTAAAAATTATTTTCTCGAATATTTAACCTTGCCTTCTTGATTTCGCTTTTCGATTTTCGATTGTCTTTTACTTTTGTCATTTTGATAATCGGATTGTCCCCCACCACCACCAAACATACTTGGTTGTATAAATAATGTCCAAATCTTATAAGCTCCAAATAATGGAATCTTTGGTATTGAAATTAATGAAATGTAAAGTATTTAAAAAATAAAAGAAGAATAAAAAAGGGAAATTTAGTTTGATCGATCTAAATTTTACTTACCACTGTGTAAAACCACCAAGCCCATTCAAAAAACATGCTTGTAATATGTACAAACCATGTTACATAAATTACATCAAACATATACCTAAAATAGTCACACAGGTAAGTAAAGGTAATAAATTTTCAAATTACAAATTCGGTGTAAAAAATTTATTACTCTATAAATAAATAAATAACTTACGCAGTCAATCCTTCAGCATTTAAATCTTCTCCTGGCCAATCTACACTTCCATTTGGTCTAAATCTGGGTGTTCCATATGAAACGAGTTGTTTCCAAAGAAACAAGCTAATTCCACAGGTAATCAAATATTTGGTAGCAATCCAAAATGTAAATGAATCATAATGATATGATATTCGGAAGATAAAATAAATTCCCTATAATAACCAAGAAACAAAGAAATATATTAAATATATATATTCTAAAGCTGAAAATAAGGTTCTAAATGGTTAAACTTACATTAACCATAAAAAAGCAAATCTTGAGATTTTGCAAATATCTGAGGTTTTCTTGGGAAATTTTTTTATCAGATTGTCTTGCCTTCAATTAGATTATAATGTTTTTACGTGAATAAATTTCGAATGTAATCGATTTCTTATATATCTATAAGTAATAACCACTCACCATCGTAAATAAAAAACGAGAAACGCGGTTAAAGGGTTAGCATAGAGAAAGTCTAGATTTTGATCTACAGGTTACACAACTATTTATACAATTAATTATGATTATGATCGTTCATATCAGTCAGGTGAAATGTCCGATGAAAATCAATTTCATATTAAAAAAAAAAATCGTGTAACATTCTACTTGTCAAAAACACAAGTTTTTTAAGATCCTTTTAAAATTAGCTAGTATTATATGTTTTTAACACCAAAATTATATGTAATTTTACAAGAGGAAAAAGTTTTTCATATATATCAAAATAGCTTATTTAGAGAAAAAGTAGATTAAAAAGAAACTTTTAATTAATATATAACATAATACATATAATTATTATTTAGATTGTATTTTTGTATTATTATTTTTATAATAAATGATAATTTATATGTTTACTATTTATTTTGTAATCTTTGTTCTTTCTTCTTTTGATAATTTAAATGTTCCTGCAATTTTTTCATGTTCAAGATTCCGAAATATTTGTCAGAGGTGCCAATGTAAATATAATTTGTTCTTCTGTTGAAATAATATTTACTAAAAGATTAATTATAGTTAGTTCTTCTTGAGTTGTACGGTGTTACAGAATGAAAATATAATGATAAAATAATATTAAAAACACCTGCAATAATTTATAATAACCCTTAAGATAATA